TCCTGCCACCCCCCCCCCTCAGCCCGGGCTCCGCGACAGGCTTTCCCGTTGCTCTCCCAGCTCTCTATAGACTCTATTTTTTATATCTATTTAAAACATAGAAATGTATAAATATATAGGATATTATTTATAGATATATAGACGTGATTTAATCTCTTACTCGCGTGTATCCGTACTGTATATGTCAGTATATACAATATATATGCTGTAATATTTGTATTACACACTGCACACACCCCCTGCTTCCATGCGCTCACGCTCCTAGGGAGACTGGATTGCATAGGTATTTGCAGAAAACACCACTTTTGGGGATTGGGGGTTGGGGGAGGGAAAGCCAGATGGAAGAGGAGGGCCGTACCATTTTCCTCCCCAAAGGGCACTTTTTCTCCCTCTGGCTAACGCACAAGGATCACCTCAGAGGCTCCTTAAAAATATCACAGCTCCATCCACTCAGCTAAAGGACCCTGTGAACAGAGAGCAAGAGAGGGGTCTCCCTCCAAGCAGAAGAAGGGCCCTGTGTGTCTCTGGACAAAATCCTCCCTCCTTAGGACGTGAGGAAGAAACCAGACCACAACCCATGACCCAGCACCACCTCCCCCAGGAGGCTGGTGTCTGGAATGGGACTGTCCCAAAGTCACCTGCCTTCCAAACACGCCACGCCCACCTAAGGAGGCCTGGCCTCCCTGCCCACGGCTACCCCAGGCTGGCCAGGCTAGGGCAGCCACCTGAAGGGGTCAAGGGGCGTGAGGTCCAGTGTCACTGGAGCCCTCATCACAGACTGGGTGTGGGGCCTAGATACAGCACCAGTTCTACTCGGAAATCAACCCAGACCACATGCCAAAACCAGATCCAGATGCAGAATTCTCTTCCTGGAAGGGGGGAGGGAGAAAGGCAGGGAAAGGAATCTACATGTACTACTTCAACTCCCAGGCTACCTCCTGGACCCCTTAGGGCTCCAGGTGACCAGGAACCCTACACCTGCCTGGGCCAAGCCTGTAGTCCATTCCGGTGTCACCACAATCATTTTCGGCATCCAACATGCTTTTCCCCTCTTTTCTCTTTCTTGGTATCACGTCCAAACATAGGGAAAATATTTAAACACGACTTTAAGTAATTATAAGCTTCTTCCTCCAAATGACAGGGTTGACACAAGTAGGTCAAGGAGAGGGGGCTCAGCAAGACAACTCAACATGGAAACATACAGCGGGGGCTGGGGCGAGACCCCCGAATGCCCTAGACTCAGGGCCCAGCACCCAGGCCGGCCGTGCAGACACCCTGGAGCTCGAGCCTGCTCTCATTCTCCAGAGAGGATGAGAAAGTAAGGATCTGCCCTGCATTACAGGATGTGAAAAAAAGAAACAGAAAAAGCAAGTGTATTGGATGCCTGGACTCTTACCTTCAACCAGGCAGGCAAAACGTGGGCATTCCACATGGTAAGAGTTGTAGACAGGGCTCGGCTGTCCTCAGGGTTCACGGATACTGGATGGCTATGGTTGTCTCTTTCCTCCACGGAGGGGAAGCAAACCATCTTCGTCATGAGGGCTTGGGGCTCTGCAGTGTATCTGCTTGACATAAATGGCCATGACCCTGAACTCGCTTCCCACCCGCCTCTATGAGCCAAAGAGAGTCACCAGTCAGCCAGCCCTACTAGGACAAGTCTCAACCCCAGAGACAAACATGTCCTTCGAAGCCAGGAGCTGAGCTGCAGGGCTCAATTGCATCTGAAGTGACCACATTCGAGATGCCAGGACCAGCCGGCCACAGCGTTTTACGCCCACCAAAGGGAGATTAGGCTAGGTAAGCATTTGGTTCCCGAGGCTAGACCCCGTGGGTCTCAATAGCCCAGGAGTCTTTCCCAAGGAGGCTGAAGAATGGAAACGCCTAGGCTAGAAATCACAGGCAGCATTCACGGGATGGCAGCACTGCGCCTCCTGGGAGCATCCAGGTTGAAAAAGTCCCTGTGTGAATTGCAGTGGTATGTCACCCAATTTGTTCCCCGGTTACTCCCTGTCCTAAGGCACAGTGACCTTCAGAGTGCCTGACACAGCCCAGGCCTGGCTGGATGCAACAGAAGTCCTGAGCTCCCCGAGTTTTAGAGCACCTTGCCAAACTTCAAGACCTGATGCATGGACACTTGCTGTCCAGCGCTGCCAGCAGCTTCTAGCTTCTAGCCCCGAGGCAGCTTACCAGCTCCCAGCTCTCTCAGGAGACACGGGGTAGTTGCTGGCATAGGCCCAAAGGATTTTGTCCCCCGCCCCAGATAAAAATTTGAGGTCATTTTGGCCACGGCCCTCTTAAAACAGCCAGAGCCCTGACTAGTGCTCAGGGAGACATAAATGATTGACCCAGGGGATAGCTCCCAGTGTTGGGGGTGGAGGGGGGCAGAAGGGGAAAGGAGAAGGTGTAAGGCATCTGGTGGCTAGAAGAAAGGATCCCAACCTACTGTTTCTGGCCCCCACCAAGGCCCCCTTGCCAGCCATCTCTGCCCTCAACCCAGCTTAGTTACTCTGTGTGATGTTCAAAGAAAGCTCCCACGGACGTGACTGTGTGTGTGGTGGAGAGGATGTCGAAGAGGGACAGGTGAAACCTTGTGCTTTGCAACAGTATCCATGTGACCATAATTACTGACCCGGATGGGGAAAAGCAGGCGGTGGAGGGAGTTTAGTTGAGTGCGGGGAGGCTCATCAGCTTAAACTAGGGACACAGTACAAGGTTGGGAATTCCAAAGCCTCAGAAAGAGCTCTGGGCGTTTCCTGCTAGTTCCTGCTCTCTCCTGTTCAGAGGACAGTGGGGAAGAATGTGGGACCAGGGAGGAGGCTGGCGGGGTGGGGGGTGAATGTCACCAGGCAGGGGTGCATTGATTTGTTGAAGAAGGCAGCATATGAGGCCTGGCAGTGGGACAGTCGGAGAAAAACCAGTTTTTTTTTTTTTGTTTGCTTCTTGTTTTTTTAACATGCTACATCACTGTTGAAAATGAACAAAAAAGTTTCAAAAATAATATATAATATATATATATATAATATATTTATATAATGAAAAGCTATCGACTAGCAGCAATGATTCTAAAGTTATCTTAGCACCAAGACCATAGGGGTGAGGGAGGGGACGTGTGGGGGGTGAGGGGACTGGGCAGGACAAGGAAGGGGGAGTGACATGTTCAGTGTTGATGACATTTCCACTATGGTTCTCGACAGTGGCATGAGGCCTCGGAAACAAGATAAACCCAGAAGGAAGAAGCCATCACAGTTTCATGTTTGAGCCAGGCAGGTTGGGGACACGTGGGCCTTGCTTGTGGCCAGATCACACCGTCCTTCGCCCGCCCTCTGCCATGAGAGAGGGGCGGGTCCCTGTAGAACTGACCATGGACGACACAGCTCTTCCTCCCTCCCCCACACAGGACCTGTATCCACAATACAAGATCTCTGCATACCCAATATGCATAAATCAGACATGGAAACATGAACAGAAGTTCTAAACAGCTCACGCACATTTTTTTTTTTTAAAGAACTCCCTTGCGAGGTATACTGTTAGTTAAATGAACAAAAGAGTATTGATCAGACTCCTCTAGCTTAAACCGCTGCTTGCCTCAGGGAGTAGGCAAGTGGCTATTTCTAAAGCTTATATCATGGTTGTGTGTGTGTGTGTGGGTGTGTGTGCGTGTATGCTCACGCATATGTGTGTGTGTATGTGTGTGTAGGCTGATGCCTTGAGAGTCCTGTCTGACCTCTTGCTTATTCCTTTTCCTTTAGGACATCTCTACCCTGTTCAAAAGAAGGAAGCCTTCCCCGGCGTGGGTGCAACGCCTGTTTTCCCACTGCCTTCTGCCAGGTCCAAGGGTTCATTACCAGCCTTGTCACCAAAGAAGGCCTCGAGCTCTAGAGACCCTCCTTTGGGTCACGCATAACCCAGGGCACAACTTGCATTGACATCTCCTGCCACTGAACTAGAGCAGGCATTTGATTATTAAAGGAACAACAACAACAAAAATACCCCCGACACATTCTGTGATTATAAAGACAGAGCATAAATAATTCATGTAAATGAAATACATACCTTTCATTTTACTTGTTTTTAGCCCCAAATCCCTGCCCTGTTAGGGTCTGGATTTCTTGGCTCTTCATTTCCCCCATAGTCCTGGATCTGACTGGAATTATATTATTTTACCCCACACTACGTAAGAACAGGAATGCAAAAAATCCCCCCCTTCCCCATAGACACACACACTTGTCCCTTCCCCAGGATTTCAAGCTCGGTGGTAAGGCAATTTTGCCTTCAGGATAACAGGTAAGATCTTTAGGATCGGGGGTTCTGGAAGGAGGGAATCCATAACCCAGGGATGGGAGAGGCTACAGAGGTGGGCAAGTAGTGGGTGTCACAGTTTGACCGACACATTTGTTTCTAAGACAGTGAAGGAACACTCCTCAGGAAATGCATACAGACCTGTTGAGCTGAAATCAGGGGGAGAGGGAAAGAGTCACAAGCCCCGATCCAGATACACCACCCACCCCGTCCCAAATCAGAGATGGGATTCAGCTCCACCAGCGTGGCCACGAAGGGGCCGACGACCCCGTCGCAGACCGAATGAGAAAAGGAAAGGCAAGAACAGAAACCCAAACCCAAACCGCTCCAGCCCCAAGCAAAAACGTACAACAAACCACCTCGACCGGATGCCAGAGACCAGTCACTTAAGCTTCAGGCTGTTGGTTGGCTGTGAGGCGGGAACGCGTGAGGCCCCAGCATGGGCTTCCGTGAGGGAAAAGGATGGCCACGGAGGCTACAGCTGCCAGATCATGTAGAGGAGAGTCCGTTTCCAACATCATTCCTTTCTGAAAGCTCCCAGTGGCTTCTGGTGGATGCGTCACCTTGGTTTTTAAAAATTTTCAGTGTGGGTTTGTGTTTATATATATATATATGTGTGTGTGTATATATATATATATATATATAATGTAATATATATATTTTATAATATATCAAAGCTTATGAGTATAGATTAAAAAAATATTCAATAGCTTAGTGAACTCTGGGTCGCCGGCCCCCTAGATGTCTGGGTAAAACTCGGACCCGTGGTCCACGGTCTGCAGCACGGGCTTCTGCTCCAGCACCGACATCCTGCTGAGGACCTCGGCGGACAACGCGTAACTGTTGCCGGACTTCTCCTCGAACCAGCTGTCCAGGGCTCGCTTGGCGTCGAAGTTGGCGATCGGCGGGCCGTTCACAGCGATGGTCAGCAGGTCACTGAGCTGCTCCAGGGTCAGGCGGGAGCGGTGGTTTTTGCGGACTCGCTGCAGGGCGTTACGGCCTTTCTCGCAGCAGGCAGTGGACGTGGGGAGGACTTTGAGGACCTGGATGATCTTGTTCAAGAGCGGGAAGCGCTGTTTGTACTTGCAGATGTGGCCGATCAGGTCTTTGAAGCCATTTTTGGTATAGTAATCCGCCTTGAGCTCCCGCCACTCCATCAGCAGGCTGCCCCGGGGGTCCAGCCCCTCCCTGCAGACATCCCGGGAGAAGGTCGGGATGGCCTCCAGGTGATTGAATATCTGCACCATGTCCTCCTTGCCGTAGCTCAGGAGCTCCTCGCTGTTCCTGGGCCAGGCGGCCAGGTCGAACACCTGGCAGGCCTTCACGAAGATCCGGCTGCGGGAATCAAACCTCTGAGCCAGGATCACCTGGGTCTTCTGGCAGATCTTCTCCCTGACGGACTGGAACTTGGCCTCGGCCACCCTGAGGTTCTTCATGGCGATCCCGTTGAAGCTCTCTCGGAAGTTCTCCTCGAACTCCTGCAGGTACTCGCCGGGGGAGTCGGCCAGGCGGCTGACCTCCTGGATGGCCTCCTCAATCTTGTCGTCCACCTGAGACACCAGGAGGTACTCGCCCTGGAAGACGTAGGCCAGGCGCGAGAGCACGGCGATCACGTCCAGGAGGAAGTAGATGAGCTTGATGGACTGGTAATCCATGAGGAACTGAAGCAGGGCCAGCGCGATGGCCGACGCGTCGGCCCGCTGCGTCTGGCTGCTGACGTCCTTGAGGTGGGCCACCACCTCCAGGTAGTCTTTAATGAGGGCGTTGAGGACGTTCTGCTCCCCGATGATCCACCTCACGGCGCGGATGTCCCCCAGGAACTCCGTCTCCTCGCACAGGGTGGACGCCGTGGACCGCAGCTCGCCCATGAGGCGCGGCGAGTACCGGTAGAAACTCAGCAACTGCTTCAGGTTGTTCTCCAGCTCCTCCAGGCAGGGCAGCTCCTTGCCACTGATGGCGTCCAGGATCTCCAGGTGGGGCCGGTGCACCATGAAGGGCAAGCACAGCAGCCAGGGCAGCGTCTTGCGGATGGTCATGAACATGCTGGCGCGCAGGCTGGCCGTGACGTTGGCCCCGTCGATGCCCAGGCCCACGGTGGGCTTCTCGTCCTGCAGTCGGATGCCCAGGGCCGAGAAGGCCCGGTCGAGCGCCTGCAGGTAGCTCTCGGTGCTGGAGAAGCCCAGCTCCTGCAGGGACAGGAACTCGGTGGCCGGGGGGCCGTCGCTGCTGGTGTACTGGACATAGACGGCCACCGTGTCGGCCAGCAGGTCGTCGCTCTGCCCGTCCAGGATGATGCTGAGGCAGGGCGACTGGCGGACGCGCTCCACCAGGTCCTCGCGCAGCGCGCGCGCGATGTGGTGAATGAGGATCTGGCAGTCGCCCTCGTTCATGTACTGGTCCACCACCTTGAGCTCGCACTTGCGCAGGAGCTCGGCCAGCGGCCGGAAGTCCAGGTAGGGCCGGCCCTCGAGCGCCAGGTGGTAGGCGGTGTTGAAGAGCAGGGTCATGTTGCGGCACATCTCCTCCGTCTTCTCGGGGTGCATCCGCAGCTTGTACAGCTGCAGACACTTCTTGTGCAGGTTGCTCTGGCTGTGCAGCTTGATGGTGTGGATCTTGAACTGCTTGGAGCCGATGATGAAGGCCGACGTGCGGGACGACTGCACGGTGTACTGGCGGCATACGTGGCACCACATCTCGTTGAGGGTCGGGGAGTACCGCAGGAACCAGAACTTCTTCAGCCACTCCTGCTTGAAGCGGCGGATGCGGCGCCCGCTGGCGGAGGACAGTTTGGAGGGCTCATCGGCGGCGGTCATTATGTCGTTGGACACGGACTCGTCGGCAGAATCGACCTCCTGGTCGTCGTCCTCCATGAGGGCGGGGCCGGAGACCAGGCTCTCCGAAGCTGGAAGACAAATGGGAAGGAAACATTGAACCCCGAGTGGCCAAAACGGCAGGCGGTTCCAGAATGAGCGGGGGCTCCGGCGAGAGGTCGGTGGCACACCGTGTGAAACAGAGGCCAGATCTGGGGACAGACTGAACTCCAGCCTAGAATTTATTTATTTATTTATTTATTTATTCATTTATTTTAATGCGCACTCCTGTTCTCCGCGTGTGACCTTTGCTCTCCGGGGATCAGGCCTGGTGGCCTTCCTGCTCCAGGCGGCCTGCCTTTACCCTCCACTAGTGGGCGCTCAAAGCCAGCGGGAGAGAACACAGCGCACCCAGCCTGCCCCGGTCACACAAACAGCCAAGTGGTGGGGCTCCGTTTCTCTGGGCGCTAACGTGGTCAGGGAGCTGTGCTGTCCTCCAACACAGGCAGCTTGCCACGGCCCCAGCTTATTTCCGGATCAGAATGCAGCTGAGTTAAGACGCATGCTTTGAATATCTGAAACACCTCATTCTGAGCTAAGGGATGTGGTTAAAATAGGAAATGCTATGTAAATACGCGGTCTCAGCTGCAGCTGTGTACTGAAAAAAACCTTCCTGGTTGTCGACGGGCTCTAGAACATCCAGGCAGCCAACAGAAAAGGGCCAAGGTGTGCAGCCACGGGTCGTATGTCCCAGGCCTTCTGGAATTCCAGGCAGGGGAGAGAGAACCATGTGTGGCAGAACAGCAACTCGGGAGGAGAAGAACGAGGCCGTGTCCCGGGGCTGAGTTCGAGAAGGCCGGGAGCTCTCCCCACCGACCCAACTGTGAGCTGCCCTGCTTGGGCGGGGGCAGAGACAAAGATTGGGTCTGGAAGTTGAGCATGGGGCTAAGACACCCCCAGGACCGCCAGAGAAGGGCAACGGGTCAAGAACACAGCACACACCCCTCCTGCAGTGGAACTTCCTTTATTGACGAGGAGGATACAAGGGCGAGACACAAAGCACCCCCCGGGGGCTGCGGAGCAGCCTGTCTGAGGCAGGCACCTGCGGGTGTGGGGCTCCCCAAAGGTGGCTCCCACAGAGCACGCCTGGCCCCCTCACACTGGCCACAGGGCGCTCTTCCCTCCGACCACCATCTCAACCACACCAACTTACCTGCAGGGTCCGAGAACTCTGGGAGCTCCAGTACCTGTGTTGGCAATACGGGGGGCTCGGGAAGCTTCCCGGACTTAAGCATGTCTAGTTCGGCCTGGAGTTCCCGGACCTTCTTCTTTAGGCGGATACAGTTAGGGCAAAAGGAGGTGGTGGGAAGCTCGTGAGGGTCGGATGCAAGGGAGGCCTCTGCGGGACTGTCGGCCTTGAAGGACGAAGGCTCCTCCTCTTCATCCTCCAACGGGCCTGGCTCCTTGGAAGCCCCCTGCGGGATCTTCCAGTCCCCTTCCCCCGGGGTCCGGCTGACATTCTGCACGCCATGGGACACGCTCATTGCACACCGACTGTAGGCATCGTCCTGGTACTTGGGGACCTTCCTGATGACCAGCGAGGTGCTCAAAGCCAACTGACGAGCTTCCGCCTTTGCAGACTCCAGTGAAGCCTCCAACACATCCTTGAAAATGAGGTCAATCTTCTTCTTCTTGGCCTGGGGGTGTGCGTCCCCCTCGTCAAAGCCACGCTTGTACGGACTTTTGCCCTGTCTCAACACGGGGAGCTGAATGGGACCCCTCAGGTCTTCTGGGTTATCCAGAGCCTGCTCAGACTTCTCCCTCTGCAACCTCTTCTCTCCTAGGAAGGAAAACCAGGGTGTGAGGATGTGGGGAAAAGCCCCGAAGTGGGAGAAACCGACAGAAAACAAAGCAGGCCTCCTGCTAGCCAGTTCACTGGACACATTCCTCTGGGGCTGGCCCTGTGGGGGGCAGTTGTGAAAGAAAGGGAGAGGCGGGTCACTCAGTGGGTCGTAGGGTCTAGAGTGGGACCCGAAAAAGTGGGAAGAATTCTTGAAAAAGACCGTTTCGAGGGAGCCTTATGTCTGTACGCTGCACATTTATAGGTCCAGGGAATGCTGGAGGGGAAGGCAGTTGGGAGTGCGGTCACCCTAGAAGCGGACACCCCACCAATCAGACCGGGCAGGTGGGAGCAGACCTCAGAGCTCAGCTCATGTGGATTCCCACCCTCCGGGCTTCTTGTCCAGGCCTGGCAATCGGAAGATGTCTGCTTCGACTTGGTAAAAGGTACGCAGGAAACACTGCGTCCGCTCCTCCCTGCTCCCTGCCTGCTTCCAGATGGCCCCGTAGGGCCAGAGTGGCATGACCGCACTGACCCAAAGCATTCTTGAAATATAGCTGTGTCTCCTTACCTGATCCTTCAAGGGACGTTCCCTTTTCTATCTCTTGCCATCATGTGACTGACTTCAAAGATGTTGGTGAGCTCCCAACAGTAATTTTAGCCTGATTCTTTAAAACCGCCGACATAGTTTCATAAATGGCTACAGAAGTGGGTTCCCTGGGGGGTACAGATGCTCAAGGGGAACCCTCAGAAGGTCCTGACAGCAGCCCATGGGACTGGGAAATCACAAAGCCTTCCTAGATCAGGGCAGGGCCTTGGGAGATGACTCTGGCCAAGGACTTGTCCCAAATATACATTGCCATTAGGCTTCTGGAAGCTGGGTTTGCTAAAAAAAAAAACCTCTGAATGAAGGGCAAGGGGTCTCTGTGAGTGATCCAGGTGTTCCAGAAGACAGAGCCCTGGCTTCCCACAGCTGGCGAGGGGGGCTGTGCCCTGGGCCATGTAGGAAATCCGTGTTTCCTACAGGTAACAGCAAAAAGAGGCTACCTTATTCAGGACACCCATCTTCTGTCCTCACATGAACACCTGAGGAGCAGCCTCATGTTCAGGGTCACTGGAAGTCAGGTGACTCTCACAGCCTACACTTCCATAACAGCTGAGGGGCAGAAAGCGTGAAGATGAATGCTTATTTAAAAAAAAAAAAAAAAAAAAAGCCACGTTTGTATTACATATCAGATGTGACACTTGCCCATTTAGAATCTCTAAACATCAAGGGCCACCCTGTCACTTCTCACGGACCAGTCAGGCAGCAAAGAGCTGAGGATGTCGGGAGGTCAAGGCTACACATCACCAGGGAGTCCTCATGCCTCTCTGCTCAAAGACAAGGTCATTCAGATTTTCTAGGATGCATGGGAGACTTCTTGGGGGCTCAAGCCTTCCAGAAAAATCTAGGGGCTGAAAAAAACCTTGAAGCAGCAAAGGAACTGATTTCAAAGCCTCCATAAAATATGGGGGAAAACACCACAAAGTGAATCAGTAACTCAAAGTAGATCAAATAACATAAATTTTTTGAAAACACTATATCAGATGCGTCCTGTTCTTACAAGATAACCACAAAGGCATAATTTACACTGTCTTCAGGGAACAGTTCTGGGCTCCAAGTAATGTCCCTACTTAAGAAGGACTAATAATTCATGCTCTGGCCTTTCTCAGGGCCCCATCCTCCAATTACAAAGAAAGCTCCTTCCATGCAAGACCTTCAGTGATTGAGGGTAGGAATCCCCTTTCTGGAGCGGGGCTGGCACAACAGTCTAAGCTTCCACCAGCTAGCTATTCAGTCCTCCGAAACTACCGGCTACAGAGCCACCGCTGCATCCAAAGGCCACTGAGCTCACCACTGCTCCCAAGGGCTTTAGGACCAACACCCCCCATCCCCCCTCCCCCGCTCTGGCCCTGCCCCACACGGTGCCTTTTGGTGTCCTTCCTGTTTCCTACTGCTCAGCCTGGCCAGCCTCCTGTATCTTTGCAAGTCTTCATGGATCTCATTTCAAATCTCTCTGCCACGCCTCCTTTGAACCACTCCTGAAAGCTCACTCCCTTCTCTGAGCATTCCCCTTGGGTCTCAGAGCTCTCTCAGGATGACTGCAGCTTGAGGTACTTTGGAGAAGACACTGGGAGGGGGGAAAGGACATTATAAATCCTGAAGAATTCAAGAAGATTACAGCCAAGGGATGAAACCTGTGTCCTCAGATATGACTTCTCTTGGTTTTCTTTTCTTCTGGTGATACGGTTCTCGCGGAGACTTCTTGGATGTCTTCATTCATTTCTTCTTTTATCCATTCGACAAAGATTTATTGAGCTGCTACTAGGTACCAGACACGCTTACATAAGGCATCTTCAGAGGTCAAATGGAAACCGTGGCAATCTCATCATAGAAACATGCCTTCCCGCGAGAAATCGGCCTATGCTCAACCCCCAGATCCGAAGAAGACAAGAAGTGGGTATGTCTACTGGGCCTTGTCACTGCCCATCCAATCACAGATACCTTTTACCAAGTCAGGCAGTAGCTGTGCATTCAATGTCCACAATCTGCTTTATTCTGTTTTGTTTCTAAAAATAGCTTAATTGCAATGGGCCACCCCACTCCCTCTTCCTTGTCTCCACTCACACTCCACATGAAGATTTATTTCCAATAAGTAGGTTGCTCAGGAATGTGATATCGTCGGGCCTGGGGATAGCCCCGGTTCCTGGAACGACATGGACTCTAGGTATTTGAATGTGTGTTTTTAGCGCAAGAAAGGTCCCCTGAAAAGAAGGAGCCAGACTCACTAGTTTGCTTTGGCCAGAGTGAGGATATGGTAGAGAGGCAAAGGGCTAGGGGCTGGGGAGTATTTTAAGCCACCTTCCAATGACTCATTTAAATGGAGTCTGGATGGACATCTCACCCACCAAGCCATCACCCACACCTATGGTCTCCTTCCCACCTCCCTCCAGCCTTCTTCTAATAGAGACTGTTCGTGCACAGCATGGGACTTGGCCTTCCAAGGAGACCAGGAGGTAGTAGGGAAGAAACTAGTTTGGTCAGAGAGGCCTATAACACTGTAAGTTAGAGGCTAGACCCTGCACTGAGACCGATGTGCACGAGAAACCCCTCACTGCTCTTCCCAGCCACGTGACCCTGGGGCGGGGTGGTGGGGGGGGTGGGGTTCACCGTATTTATCTGGTGCTAGGTTTCTGCAGTTGTGAGATGGGGATCACAGTCCACAGGGGATCATTAGAATCAAGAACTCACAGCTGAGGGCTTACAGGGGTCAAGGTGGACATTGCTCTCGATGTGTTCTGTGTGGTACCTAATTCTCCCGGCATGCTCATGAGGTGAACACTCCTGTCCTGAGAAGCACGTGCATGCTACAGAACAGCAGCTTTGTGCATGGGACCCATTTAGTCAATGTTTGCTACTACTGAGCCAGTGGCACCTTCTAGCACCTTTCCGTCCCTTTGACTTGGGCAAAAAGGATCAATTTTGATGAAACGTACGTGCTTAGCTCTGGGGCCTCGTCTCTTTGGATACTCTCAAACGTCTGTAACAGGGTTTCTGAGGGAGGACAACACGCAGGAGTGCCTGCCGCCCTGCCCAGAGCTGTCGCTCACACCCAGACCAGCTGCCCATCCCCCCACCCCACCCCCCGAAGTCGCTCTGGGTCTCCCCATTGCTGGTAGACTGCGTTTCCCATCGGTTTTCTTAGGAAGCACCCAGAGAAGCTGGCTTCCCCTGTGTTGGGTGGCAGGCGTGGCCCTTGCCTCGGGGTGGGCACTCACCTCTGGCCAGATTGCGGTGGATGGTTTCCTGGGACATGCTGTGTAGACGCCTCATGTAGTCCTCGCTGTACCAGACCCGGAGCCGTTCCCCAGGCCGGATATCCCGGCACGCTCGGAAGTAGATGTGCTCGCTGTGCTGGAAGGCCAGCAGGTTCTGCTCCCTCTCCTCCCGGGAGATGACCACGTACCTGGGGGTGAGGGGGACAGGTGAGAACACACAGGCCACTCATCGCTGAGTGCCTGCTGGGGCCAGGCACGGTGCCGGGCAGGCGTGGGAGGTCAGAGGTCCACCAGCATGTGGCATGTGTTGAAAAGTCCAGGGGCAGCTGCCTGTCCAGGATTGGGACACCAGCTAGGGGCCCATCCCTGGTCTCAACCTCACCTTTTTGTGTGACCTTGAGCAAGTCTTTGAGTCCCTGAGAATCTGTGTTTTCTGAGCCTAGAAATGACAACTGCCCTGCCTACCTCCCAGATTCTGGTAAATATACAATTCAACACCAGATACAAAAATGACAGCAAACCGGAAAGATCAGGTCATTTCTTCCTCACTAACTTTTAAGTGCAGGGATTCCCAGACACCCGCAGGCCTCCGATGGTGGGGAGTGTGGGGTTCTCGGACTCTTTCCAGTATTTCACAAAGCCCAGCAGAAATTGCCCCAAAAGGGCAATTAATTAATGCAGAAGATTAATATCTTTAAAAAGTGGGTGTCCAATCCAGACAGAAGATGGAGGTAGATAAGTGACAAGAAAGGATTAGCAACCACTCACTAATCTAAGTTAGTTTAAGGTAAGGAAACTAAGGATCAGAGAAGGTAAGTGACTTGCCCAAGGTCACACAGCTAATAAATGGGAGGTGGAGCTTTGAGTCTATATTTTCCCCTGTAGAACTCACGGCTCCTCCGTGAGTCTGTGAAGCACCAACCCAGTGACACGCAGATAACATTGAAAGTTCCACCAAATCCTCAGTATCTCTCCTTTCCCCAGCTCTCCCTGAAATCACATTTCCAACATCCAACCTGCCTCCTCTAAAAGATGAGATGACATAACACGTACAGAGAAGTGGAGGCATAGAGATCAAAAGAGGAAATTATTTGATGTCTTAAGGATCTAGGAAATTTGGAAAAATAAACTTTTTTCCCTTAGGTTATGGTTTGTCTCAAAGGACAGGGAAGAAATCAAAATCTGTCTGACTGCCCTAACCCAGAGAGCTGTCTGTAGAGCAGTCCAGGGTAAGGAGTAATTCACAGAAAAATATCCACGGGGGTCATGAACACATAAACAAATGGAAAGTATTCAGCATCGCTGATAAGAAACACAAAGTAGCAACTTGTCTCATTGGCACAGATTTATCTCCTTTTTTTTTTTTTTTTTTTAACAATAAGATCCATATTCGCTAGAAAAGCATTTCCCATCCTAATGGTAGAGAGTAAATTGGCCCGGCCCTTTGGGACACAAATTTGGTAATACGGACTCGAACAAGTATTCGACACCTTCCTAGCAGCATGATTCCTAATAGTCGGGTGGTGGAAGCAACCCCTGCGTCCACTAGTGGATACATGGATAAACAGAATGTGGGGTACGCATACGCTGCGTATTACTGGGCTTGAAAAAGGAAGGAAATTCTGATATATGCTAGCACATGAATGAACCTTGAAGATACATATGAAGTGAAATGAGCAGGTCACAAAAGGACAAATACCGTAAGATTCCATTTATATGAGGTACTTAGTCCGAATAGAAGAGTTAAATTCAGGGAGACAGAAAGTACAACAGTGGTGAGCGGGGTGGGGCAAGGGTAGGGTGTGAGGGTGGGGCGCGGGGCGGGGAGGTGGCGGCTGGGGAATGGGGAGTTAGGGTTTAATGGGTATCCTGTCTCAGTTGGACAAGAAGAAAAGAGCTCTGGAGAGGGATGGTAGTGATGGGTGCCCGGTGTAAATGAAATGAATGCCACCGAACTGTACACCTGAAAAAAAAGAGTGGTTAAAATGGTCAATTTTATGGTATGTATGTTTTGTCACAATTTTTGCAAAATTTAAAAAGGGCCCATGAGATGCAGACCAAGTAGACAAACTGTGCTCCCATCACCCTGCCTGTGCCACTGTTTACAATCGTGCAAAGACATTGAAACCTCTAATACTGGAGAAACAGTTCAGTAAACCATGGTATATCCGTACGATGGAATGTTGTTACTCATCTAAAGAAAATGTTAGCAAAGGATTTTTCACGACGTGGAAAAACGGTCCTGATAGAACGCAGGGTGACAACAGTAGGATCGGAAACTGTTTACTTTACGGTTCCAATCATGCTTTCAAAACACGCCTCGGGAAGCTACTTGAAAGAAATACACCGCTGTTTTACCAGTGATTGATTACCCATTACAGGGGGATCTGCTTTATCAGTTTTTTCTCTGTATTTTCCAAGTTTTCCTTGTTAAGCAATTACTACGGTTACTCCCACAGCCACCCCCTAAAAAAAAAGACATGCACGAACGCCAATTCCAGGACAGGTGCCGTCCTGGCGGCCAGCCGCATTGCCAATCTACATTGCCCCGTTTTGTCGGGGACAGTCCCCTGTGGACTCTGTTCTACTCGACCCTGGAGGAGGCCATGACCTTACAAGGGGACAACTAGAGACCAGGGACCAATCCCCCTAGCAACCGGCTGCAGCACCGGTCCCCAGGTTGTGGGAGTAAGGCCAAGGATGGCCGGAGGGCAAACTTGAGTTTTTGGCTGCTTCACCGCTGTTGAGAGAAGAAGCAGCCACCACCCTGCCAGGGGGCAGTCGCACTTGCAGGATTTTTGAAGTTTAGATCCCCAGAACTTGCTTGGGTCCAGGAACTTAGCCTCAACGCATCTGCGCTTGTCAGCATCAGACATGAGCACTGGTCTCCCTGAGCTGTGACGATAATACTGTGATATCCACGACACCAAGGATGAACTTGGGGAAAGGGAAAGAGGACCCCTGGCCTAAAGAAGCCTTTCCGAACGAATACTTCTGAGTCACAACTCTCTAGCACAGGGGTCTGCTTTCCTCCAGAACTGAGATTTCTTCTGAATGTGCAAAATGTTTTCCAGTCCCCAATTTAGGGAAAGCTTGGGGTTTGACATCCACAATTAATCACCCTTGTGGTTAGCACAGAACTGGGGTAGATCCAAAGTTTCCTACTCCCGGATTCGGAAGGCAAACCATGCATTCATCTTCCCTCACAAGAATCACTTGGACCACAAAGCACAAGGAAAGAGACACTCTTCTCTTTTTTGGGGGGTATTTACGCAATCATCAAGCTCTAAAACCTAGAATTATTTTCTCTGGCATTCAACTTTAGGAGAAAAAGAGATGAGGAACACGTAACTCTCAGGCATTTCTTCAAAAGAACAACTTCTAGACTAGGTCCAAAGCTTTGGAAAGATTCAGGTCAATTTCCCTTTCTATGTCTGGTGGTTTCCTGCCCGATAAGAATCAAGGTTTAGAAGAGAACTCCAAGTCTTTGTAGCCATCCCATCTTCCAAGACAGATCAGAATGTGTTAAGCATCTGATTGTATTTGGTTGTTCTGAAACTTGGCCCTTGAAATATGACATATATGGCAACTCCCAGCAAATTGTTAACAACCCGTCCCCTCAAGATGGTAAATGGAGCCAAGCTGAGTCCCAACACAAATGACTTCTAATTAGACCTCCCTCTTACCAATATTTTGCAGTAACACCCAATGGTTTGATCTACTCCCAGAATCCTCCTGTCCCCATATGACAATCCCTTTATGAAGAGCCACGCCTGTCCCATTCCGAGAGCCCTTCCCTGGAAGACAAGGCTTCTGGAGAGTGAAAATCTCCGGATCTGTTGTTTCCGGGTCACTACTTTGTTGGAGAAAAGACACAGAGTATGTCAGAAGGAGGCAGAAAATGGCTAACGCAGGCCACTCTACAAATGCTAGGGCTCATCTGATGGCTTTTCAAGTTAGACCCAAAAAGCTGATGCCCTTTGAAGCAATCAACGGGATGGGGGTGGGGGCTTGTTCTCTGGACTGAACGTTTCATGATGAGAATCGATTGTTTTTATTCTGAACTCCTTGTGGACTTTGGGTACTGGATAGATAAGCACTAAGACAACACTTTTTATACATCACCCACTGAGTCTTATCAAATGCACCATATTTTCTAGCTGGGTCAGGAAATAACTATCAGTTCCAACAGAAGAGAGCAAATAACCCACGGGGCAGCCATTTTGTTGGAGTGGGGGCACATAAAGGCCAGGCTCAGACAGTCCTGCTCAGTGGGTATGTCTCTGACGGAAAGGAAACTATACCAGCCACGGAGCCAGAAATGGGAAGGAGGGACCAAGAAGGAGCTGGGTTCTGTTTTCTCACACATGTTTAGGTCTCTGAGCAGGGTGGGTCTTTGGGTCAGATGGGCACCCACCTCCGCCAGAACATCACCCAGCCAGCTCTCAAAGCGGCTGGAGGCATCAGGCCCTTAGGTGGGACTTCCCTATCTTACGCCGAAATTGGCTGCCCACTCACTTCCAACCACTGGCCCCAGTTTCGCCTTCCTGTTTTGATGAGCTAGACCCACAGTCCCCACTAAAGCCAACAAAAAGAAACTAAAGAAACTTCATCTCAAGTTCACAGGCTCTTCATCGCTCTGTCCCCTTTGCTTCCAACTTGATCCCTTCCCTCCCCAGGAAAAGAGGGAGGGGCCTGTCAGTTCCTGCTCAGCTCCTGGATGGGGCTGGAGAAGATCCCAGCTTCCCAGTATCTTTGCCTGTGGCAAAAATGGGATTATGTTTGATTTCCACCGCCCTGCTTTCCGGCCGAGAACAGAAGAGGATGAGCTGGATTCCAGGAGGTCAAAGGGGCGCTGGAACCTTCTAGAGAGGGGATAGATCCCTGGTCGGGAGTTGGGGATTTCCTGCTTGGGAGGACCTCTCTGTGTGACTGGGAGGAAGCCTGGGCAACACCCGGGTTAGGAGGTCCCTTCTCTTCTGAGAAGGCTCCCAAAGGGACCTGGAGGAACTGCTCTGGCTACTTTGAAAGCCTCAGCTTTCGGTGGGCGGGGTCCTGCCTTGTGACAGATACCAGGATCAGGGGGGAGACGTCCCCCCAAAAAGTTCATGCTGCAGGCTGGTCCCTGAAGTACACTGGCAAATGGATAGCCCCTGACCCTTCTAGAGTCTCCTGTCAGAAATGGTGA